CGTGGCCAGGGGAAGTGGCCAATAAAAGGCCACGTTACCTTTCGAAATAAAAGGCCAATTTACCAAACTCAATAAAAAGGCCAATTTAGACTTAATACACAACTCTGAACGGTCTCATTTCAATGTTTACAAATATTGAACGGGGCAAATAGCAAATATGGGTTACAATGTTTTGGTTTATAGAGTTTTATATTACAAATTACATTTGGTTCAAGGTTCTCGTATATTTTAGCCGGCAAACTCAAACAGAAATAGGCCCAAATTTGAGAATCTGGCCGCCGGAGCCAACTAGCTCTAGCGGACCGCTGGCCATTAGTATAGTATAGTATAGTATAGTATAGTATAGTATCTTCGGCATTTAAAGAATAGGCCTGGATAGGCCTGTCGCCGATTCTTGTACTTTTCTTGACTAGACTGGCCTTTTGATCAGATCTTTTCAACGGACGGTAGATATAAAATAGCTTCAGTCATGAGGACAAATATGGCAACACTGCCCTGCACTACGCCTGCCTATTGGCTCCCTCGAAGTCTGCGGACACAATCTTGTCTGCTATTCTGACTGTCGTCGACCAATCAGAAATTCTCGAAGCCACTAACAAAGATGGCGACACCGCCTTGCATTTTGCGGCGGCCAAAGGCAATGTAAGTAACTCGTCTAAAATAATTGTATCACATTCAACAAGCTTTGTTGGAGTAATTTTAATAATTTCATAAATCGTAATAATTTAATATCGATATTTCGCAAAATATCTGTAGCTTCCGTTCCTGCGCATATGCCTAATTTCTCTTCTACTTCCATGCCCGCGCATGTGCTAAGTATAAACAAATTACACGTTCTTACAGACATGCCTAATCGACATTTATAGCATTATTCGACGTAATAATGCTATATCGACATATTTATCTCATTAATTGAAGTGATAACTAATAAGCTATTATTTATTTTATAATTATATTGTATTAAAGTGTGGTTACAGTTCAGAGTACCAAGATTGGCGCAGAGAGGCGCGGGTTCGATCCCAGCTCTGTGCGCCAGTTTCTGGTCAGAATCGGCAAGAAGGCCGGGCGGTTAAGCATAGCAGAATTGTAGCAGTGAGTTGCGAGTTCGAGACCGCAAAATACTGTGAATGTTCTGCGATGTTAAGAATCGGCGACAGGCCTACGGCCTAATAACCCAAATATATCATTTATTCCCCAAATATATCATTTATTCCCCAAATATATCATTTATTCCCCAAATATATCATTTATTCGCCCAAGGAAACATTTAGGGAGTTTTTATGACGTAATATTATAGTTCAATAATATAAATAGTAATAATATAGTGTTCAATAGTTGATGGGGCAAAAATGCTTGAAATGTTCATAGTCGAAACGTTAACAAATGCAATGGGTGAAAATTGAGAATAAATAAATAGAAGTATAAAGGTTTTATTCACGCACTGATCAGCATGAGGTTTATCAAGGTTAATTCCGTACAAATTGATAGATATTAGAAATATTTTCGTATTATAAGAAATTGTTGTAGCTAACCTATCGTGGTCTTTGAATAGATATTTATAATATATATTATTGTTAATTTAATCTAATATATTAATATAATAAACAAAAGAAGTTTTTCATTGTCCTGCTATAGATAACCACACAACTTGTAATCCAATACAATTTTGCTTTAATTTGAAATTTGAAAATAAAAAAAAATTCATCTAATAAAAAAATAAAAAATTCATCTAATTGACTGCAAGTCTCAGATTATTCACATATAATAGATTAATTTAAATTGATCAACGTTCAAGATAAGATAATACATCACAATGCTACATGTAGTCATGAACATATAGGCGTGCTCGCTGTCACGTCAATGACGTCATCACATAGGCAACGTGATGTCTAGGATATCTTATCAATAGGAATAGTCAAGAATAATATATAGTATAATATAAATATAGTATAGTATCATAAAATAGAGCCCTACAGTTAAATAATATTTAAAAAACGTCACACAGCATCGCCACGCCATTCAACACGTACATTTCAACGGATTCAACATTTTTCTTCAATAAATATCAAGATATTGTCCTTGCGCATTATTTCAACAATATATAACATCTTAATATATTTCAACACTATATAACATCTTAATATATTTCAACAGTATATAATATCTTAATATATCTTCTAGTATAATGGCACTAGATTGCATGAATCGCAGATTCACTAGAAATTTGAAAGCAAAGAAAACTCCACAAAAATTCAGCATATTTCTATATAAAACGTTTCAGAGACCATCTCCATCATCAGTTCGATCTAGAACACAAATTAATAAAGTTTTGAGTCAAAAGAAAAAACACAGAAGTTAAAAACCTAAATTTACAGGCAGAATATAGAATAGAATAGAATAAAATAGAATAGAATATAATAGAATAGAATAGAAGTGTCGGCACTGAAGAAATAGGCCCATGGTCTGTTGCCGATTCTCGAATTTTTCGTGACTTGATTCACAAGGGACCCGGCCTTTGGAACCCGATCTTTCCATAGCTGACGATTGATTGAGATAGCTGCTGGACTTATTGCCTGGTAAGGGGAAGCTGGGGATGGGGTGGGGATACGTCCAATCAGACGAGGGGACGTGGACAGACCCAACGGGAGTCCCACGAAGCCCCACAGACAAGAGGACACACTTACCAGTCCTAAAAGTAGTCCTACGAAGCCCCACAGAAAATGGTCCAGTAACGCCAGCCTCTTGTCTGGGGAAGAGGCCCTGAGGAGTGACTCGTGTCTGGGGTCTGTCGAGACCGTCAAAGAAAATCCCTTCCCTCATGGGGAGCGTCCGGGGCGACACTCCCTGTCTACCCTCGGCAGTCCCTGGACTTCTGCGTCTAATTTAGAAATCAGTCCCGAAGACGCGGGGATTTCCGTCTTCTTGGATTCAAATTCCGCAGAAAATGGGGAGGTGAAACCCCGAGGTATTTTTCCCGCTGCCGATAGTCAGAGTCAGGAATCTATTCTAGGGGAAGATGGGGAAAAGTTTAAAGGAAATGATGAAGGAAGAATATTTTCAGGTACGCATGCTGATGGGAAAAGTGTCAATAAGCAAGAAAATATTTCTCTTTCCGGTACCAACTTGAGTGACGAAGTGAAGGAAAAAGGTTTTTCTTCAAATTCTAAAATGTCTAAATTTGGCAATAAAGTAAAACGGGAAAAAATTATCGGAAATAGCCAAGAAGATTCGTCATTTTTTGGAAGCAGCGTAGATGGTTCTACAGATCAGGACAGTTCTGGCAAGAACCAGTCAGACCGAAAAGACAGCAGCCCTTCAAGTTCTTGGGACAACCCCACCGACTCTGTATCGCTGAAGCTCTTCGGTGAGAAATCCAGACTAAGTCTAGATGGATATCTGGACGAGAGTGTCGGGGTATCCACCGTATCCACTGCTCCACCAAAACAGGACATCTCCCTGTGTAATCAAGCTATCCATCAAGTTGGTAAAGGGTCTTTTGATGACGATGATATGGAGAGCCTGTGGGATCATCCTGTGGGAAAAGAGCAGGAAGCAGTCAACCTAAGACGTACCCAAGAAGTTTTCCAGGAGACCGAAACGTCCGATGATATATCCTTCTCGAGAGAAGATGACATTCTGCCTCTTGAAACTACCCAAATTCACGCCTGTGAGGTCGATAATAAGTTGAAGAAAGTTGTCAAACAATCCCATAGTGATGCTTCATCTAGCGATATCTCCAGTGAAGACCCAGGACCTCCAACTCCACCTATCGAGGGGGACGAACTGCAGACGCCAATGCCGGACCTGGAACATCCTGGTCACTTGGGATCAGCTTCCAAGGGAAAAAATTTGCTCTATCCTGATATGTTTTGTGATCTTAACTCAAAAAGTTCCGTTGATTCCAAAGGAAGACCAAAAGAAATTCCTTCCGGTGAAGAGGAGGTTCCTGCTAGTGAAGAGGTTCTTGCTAGCGAAGAGAAGGTTCCTGCTGGTGAAGAGGAAGGCCCTGCTGGTGAAGAAGACGTCCCTATTACTGAAGAGGGGCTTCCTACTGGTGAAAGGAAGGTTCCTGCTGGTGAAACTGAGGTTCATGATGGTGAAGACGATGTTCGTGCCGGTGAAAAGGAGTTTTCTGCTGGTGCAGAAGAGGTTATTGCTGGTGCAGATAAGGTCCTACTGAAAGGACAAGCTCGAGTTCCCTCTGAGGATCCTGAGGACAGTCCAGACGAAGACGTACACGGCACCCGTCGTCTGGACAGGCGGGACACGCTGATGGGGGTGGAGGAGATATGGGAGGCCAATGCCAGCCTAGAAGTAGAAGACTCATTTCTGGCCAAACTCTCGGACGGTAAAACCAAAAGACATTCGCTTACTGCAAGCGCAGATTTAAAATTTAGTCTTGGGTCTCTGTCGCCTTGTGGTAGCTCCATTAATCTATCTGATGGGTTGAATCTGTCGCCTATAAATCGTCCAAAATTTGATGTGTTGATAAGCCCGAAGGATTTGGTGATGACGGACGCATCTCCTGAAGAAGAACAGAAAAAGGTTCCTAGTCGTGCCATGAGTTTGATCGATTTCTGCGTGAACAAGAACAATTTTGATAAAGTTTCGTTGAAAAAGACTGGTTTATTGGAAGAAAATTCGAGTGTTGGAGAACTTACAAGCTCTAAAACCTCGCCAAAGCGAGGTAAGAACTTGAAACTTATACGGAAGAACAGCATCAGTTTCGGTGAGCTGTTCACGGGTTCTGTTAGTCGTCACGAGAAGTTGAAGAGAAGTTCAAGTTTCGTTAAAACGATCCGGGAAGATGGCTTAGAAAAATGGAGACAAGCTGCATCAAAAATCAAAGAAAACAGGTCGCTTTCAGGGGACAAATTTGATTTTTCAACAAAAATCGTGCGTTCTTCTACAGAAAAGAGCAAAGACCGAGAGACCAAAAGTCCCAGGCAGGCAGAAGACGAGATGTGGTCTTTTTCAACAGACAGCGACGAGAAGGAAAGTCTTCACTACATTTCCAGTCCACAAGGAAAGTCTTTACTGAAACCCCTGAGTCTGTACGAAGGCGCAGCAGACATGCCTGCAGACATAGCAGGTCTGCTGCGCGAGTACCGTCTTCAGCTAGAGAAGGAAACTACAAGAAGGGAAGGCGCGTTAAACCAATTCAAGTTGTTGCAGTTGAACCATGCGCAACTTATTCAATACTGCAAGGAACTTGAAAAACAGAACTTTGATCTTTTAAAACGAAATGAGAAGTGTAAAGTTGCCGCCAAGTACCTCAAGTTCCAGCGCGACATTGACCAAAAAGATGTAAAGTTCCACCAAGAAACCATGGACAAAATGAAAGAAGTTTTCGAGACACAAAGAGAAACTCAGTTCCACGCAGCCAAGCACAACTTGGATCTGGAGAACAACTTTTTGGAACTTAAAGGCAACTTTGAACTTGCCTTGGCTATCAACGAGCATCAACAGAATCTACAGACCTGCAGCGATCAGCGGTTAGTGGTCGTTGTGGTGTATACGGAGTAATTCAAATGTGTTATTTGCTCGTTTGTTTGTGTGTTTGAGGCTTTCAACATATTATATTTTATTATCTCTTATTGAACGTATATTTGATTTCAAGATTAGGTTCGTTTTAATGTGCTTTTTTATTTCATGTGCTTTTATTCATTCATTATTTATTTTCTTTTATTAATTCATTTTCTTCTATTCATTCATTCATCATTTTCTTTTCTTCTATTCATTCATTATTTTCTTTTATTCATTCATTCACCATTTTCTTTTATTCGTTCATTAGTTCATTAATATGATTTTTATTCACATAAAGTAAGTTTGTTTTAACATGCCTTCTTTTTTTGCAGGCTTCATTCATCGCAGGTGGCTGGTCCAACTCAAACACAGCTCCAGGGCTCAACGTGCTCACAATTCAACAGTTCAACAGCTGATGAATTCTCCAGTGTTCAGCGCAGCGACGTTGGAAATGATCCGATACTTGTTGAAGTTGACAATGCCTATGTTGGAACACAGACTGATGAAATCGAACAAGAAGCTGAGCATTCAACTGTTGTTGAAACATCTTCGGTTGAAGTGCAAACAGACCTGTTGAACGAAAAAGTTTCTTCATCTGTTGAAGTGCAAACAGAGTTCGTAGTCGAACAGGAGTCTGTATTATTACAAACAGAAATATCAACAAACACAAGTTCATCACAAACCGTTGTTTATTCAACATCTGTTAATTCATCCCAAACAGAATTGTACACACGCGTAATCCCAACCCAAACATGTATACCAACAGACATAATTTCAACTCAAACATGTATATCAACAGACATAATTTCAACTCAAACTGATGTATCAACGGACATCATTTCAACTCAAACTGATGTATCAACAGATGTTATTTCAACTCAAACGGAAACAGCGGAAAACAATTCAACATTTGCTGATGTTGGAACGATGGTGGATGTTGATGTTAACGATACATGGACGCAAACAGACCCAACAGAGATGCAACAGGACAATACAGGACCACGCAGAATCCCTTCTACATCAGTACAGCTTCAAACAGATGAATCTGTTACCGTAGACTCGGCGTCTCAAATAGATCTGTTCGAATTGTCCTGGAATGTAGACGCTTCTGTTCAAACAGACGTTGAACTCTCAAGAGTTGATTCAGCTGTTGAATCGGACCTCGAATCAACAATCGGTGCCTCAGCGCATGTTTCTGTTGTTGAATCCGCCGTTGCAATCGTCGATAATGCCGTTGAATTTGCAGATTGCTTCTCGCAAACAGAAAATGCAACAACAGGGACAACAGAGGCGTTTGTTCAAACACTCAATCCTGCAACAAACACCGGCAAGGTTCAAACAGACGTCACTTTTTGGGAGGTGGCAGACATCTCGCATGCCGCCACCCAGACTGGAAAAACAGATGACATCTCCAGGAATAATTCCTCGATACATTATAGCTCCCCGAAAGGGTCTAAAAGTAAACAAGTTTCCTTGGATTCACTAGGCGTGCACGAAGAAGCTGTAGATGTGTTGAACCTATCAAACGACAGCGTCTTCATGAAATTTTCTAGGTCCCCTTCACCAATACACACCAGTAGAAGTGAAGGGGATGAGAATAAGGAAGGAAGTAGAAGTTTTATGGCTAGTACTATGCTTTGTTCCCCTAGAATAGTTCAGGGTACTAGTAGGAACGACTTTTCCCGACGGGGTTTGAGGGGAAAATCTACGACCAACGGGTACTCTAATGTCGACAACGAGGCTCCCGAATGCAGCCAAGACGAGGTACTTGTGACAAAAAGCAACATCCCTTCATCTGTCCAGGTAGAACTTGGTAGATATCCTCAGGATATCTTCCAAAATAGGAACGATTTCATCCCAACCAAAACTACTCATACCTCAGATTCTACTCGTGTTGACACAGCCCTCGGTGGAGGCTCTGGCCGAGTCAACAGCGAACTTTTCCAGAAGCTCAACGATATCGAGACAGAGATTTTAGGTAAATTTCACGAATCTGCTGCGTTACAAGAACTTTCTGAACTGCGTTTAAAAAATTACAGAGCAGAAGTAGAAGAACTACGGGCTGAAGGGGAGGAAATCCAGTCTAACTTCAACAAAAGTATTTCAGAAATCAAAAGTGTGTTAAATAACTCGGTTGATGTTGCAGACGCGACTAGAACGCAACTGAAACCGGTTGAGCAGACTCTTACGCAAATGAAATTGGCATTCAACTTGGGAATTGATGAACTGAAAAGAAATGCGGCAATTCAGAATGAAATTTGTATAGCTCATATCGAAAATGTACTTACCACTAAAGTGAAGCAATTGAAATTGGATGATAAATTGCACAAAATCAGTGAGGAATTCAGGGCGAGCCTAACCGAGTTGAAACAAGAAATCAACAAAACAAAAAGCAAGGAGAAGTCCCTAAGCGAAGCCATTAATAATCCTAATCATGAAAGAGAATTTCAGAAAGCTCTTCTGCCACTTGAAGAATCTTTCAAGTATCTTATGGAAACCTCTATGAATCGAGGCGAGGTATTCAACGAGCAGTTGATTGCTCAGGTGGCCGGCGCTGTTGAATGCCTGCAGAAAGCTGTTGACAACAACGATCGCTTCAACAGGGCTCTGAAATATAGGGTTTCCAACACCCAACTCCAACTCTCAGAGTCCGTTGAGGAAAATTTCCTGATTCTTCGGGACCAAATCCAGAAACAACAAGAAGGTCTCCTAAAGAAATTAGGCGAAGTCACGACAGGACTGCAAAAAGTGAATAATTTCAGTAACGACGCCTTGGAAGTCTCAGCTTTGTTCGCTGAACTGAAGAATCTGTTGCAGACCGCTTATTCTGATCGACATGCACTCGTTTCGTTGGGCCAAGAAAACGAAACTTTGAAAAAGGAACTTCAAACTCTAAGGGATCAGGATAGTTCAAAGTGCGCAAATGGTACTCAGGAACATACCGTTTACCACCACCGTACCACTGATGAGACAAATACCAGTGGAGTTGAAGAAGCCCCTGCCGAAACCACCTACAGGAAAGGTACCACTGAAGAACCACCGCCTCATGCCACGTGTGTCTTGACAACCAGCATTTCAGCGAACCATTCTGGCAGAGACATTGCAGCTGAAAACCAGGCTTTGTCTCTTGAAGTTGCAAACTTGAAAGGAAAGCTGGAGATTCTTACGGACTTAATGAAAGGTAAAGAGGAGAGTCGACGAACTTCAGACTTGATTGAACTAAGAATCGATCCGAGCACAAACTCAAGTTTCGAAGAGTATAAAGTTAATTCTAGCGGAAAGTTATGTGTTCTAAGGCGCATAGACGATGATTCTAAAGCTCGACGATCTTCTAGTTCGGATTTTTGTGTAGGTTCAGAACACTTGGATGTCAAATCTCATTTTAAAAAGAATTGCGAAGAGAATAAATATAACAATCAGGAAGTAAAGGATCTTGACAGGAGAAAAAAAGTTGATAATGTGACTGAAATGGACATAAAAAGCCAAGGAAATGTACAGCAATTAAGTGAACTGGAAAGCAGAATTTCCACTCTAGCTCCTGAAAACCAAGAACTAAAATCTTCTCTGACCCAAAAAAATGCCACTATAGAAGATCTGAAACTAAAACTGGAGTGTTCAGAGACTAACTTAAAAGAATTGGAATTGAAAACTGGTAATATGCAGTCGAGAGTTGCCTATTTGGACGAATTACTGAAGGAAGAGCACCAAAAGTTGGTGGAGAGTCAGTTCGACGTGGAACGCTGCAAGGAAGACATCTTCCTCCTCCAGTCCGAGAACAAAAAGTTGGTGCAAGAAGCCCGGAAAGTTCGCGTCTTGCAAAGCAAACTTAATTTGATGACTACTGAGAAAGATAGAAGAGAACTGGAAGTTGATGAGTTGTTGGAAAGAGTGAAACAACTTGAATCATCGGTCAACGATGGACTCATGGGTCAACTTCATGAAATGAGGCTCAAAGTTCTAGACTCGGACAAGTTGAAGCAGGAAGTTGAACGTGAAGTGGTACACGTCAAGTTTGAGGTCGAGGCTCTGGAGCAAAAGTTGAGGTTGAAAGACCGGAGTTTGGTGCAAGAAAGACGACTTTTTGAGGAAATGAAAATAAGTCTTGAAGAGAAAGACATGTTGTTACGTGAAGAAAAAATACGTTGTGAGAAACTTCGTTCAGAGAATTCCAGCTCTCTTCGTTACGTTGAAGATTTAAAAGATGAAGTTCAAAGGTTGAAAGGATTGGCCGAAGAGAAAGAAATATCCTTGACTGAAGTTAAAACGGAAGTAAGTGAGACAAAAAACCAGCTTAGAGCGTTGAAGAGAAGCGAAGAAACATTAAAAGATAAAAATAAACTCCTCGAAGAAGAGAAGAACGCGTTCCTCCTGGAATTAAAGCTCCTGAAGAGAGAGAAGCAAAATGCGGAAGATGAGTTAAATGCGAAAAAACTTCTGAACCACGAAGAAGTTCTTGCCCTGAGAACTAAATACGACAAGCTTGAACAAGAACTCATGCTAGATTTAATACATAAAGACGCTTTGGAGCAAATAAAGCTATCTTTTGAAAATAAATGGCTGGCTGAGAAGCAGCAAGCTGAGGCTGAAGCGCGCAGGCTAAAGGACATGAACCAACGGCTGCAAGAGGAACACAACTCCAGCATCAGGCAGCTGGGGAAAGAGATGACCAACTGGAGGGAAGAGTGTCGTAAGTTGAACACCAAAGTGATTCAACTGGAAAGAGAGAAGAATCTGTTGAAATCTATTTCAACGGACAAGCCTCTTGTTTCGTTCAGGGCGGCAGACTCGAGGAAGGTCGGTACCTCCAAGAATATTGTGAGTGCTGGAGAGACTATTCATTCCCTCAAAGACGATGAAAAACTTTTTGGAATACAATCTACATTTAACAAAATGTCTAATAGTTCTCCTAAACCCAAGCTAGCCCATCACATCAATAAAATTTCCAAATCTGATCGTGACGAAACCAACTTCACAAAACCATGCACGGACATTTATGATAGCGTTTCTGATGTTTCACCTCCTGGCCATGAAGTTCCCAACCCAATTTCAAGTTCCAGAAAAACCACTCCCCAAAAATTCCCCAACTTGAACGCGACCAACGAACCTGACCAGCAAAAGCTGAGCAGAATGTCGTCTTTAAGACGAAGTTCATTGGCACCCGACACAGACGCGGCGTCCATAGCGAACCTGAGGAGGATCGTAGCCAGCACCTCCTTCAGCTCCTCGCTCCCCAGGCACCTTGAGAGGGCTGCACCCCCCGCGCCCTGCCGGTGGTCTAACGGCACCTCAAGACTAGACCAAGTCCTAAGCAGCGTCCCCAGGTCAGACCCTAAACTTGTAGGACGCGCCTACCGCCACTCGGAGGAGCTACAAGAGGCGCTGCACCGAGCCTACGCTGACACGCGACAAGCTCGTGACACACTTGGCGACGCTGAGTGGGTCAGCCCTGAGAACTACGGCTACACGCAGCTCAACTTCTGCTAGGCATAGTTCTGGCCTAGAACTGGGGTCTAGGGCACCACAGGATAGGGTAATCTTGTAGTAACAGTAACCGCCCTGGGGTCTATCCACGTTGTGATTCTTCAGTTCCATCTTTTCCAAGTTTTCTGTATTTTTCCGATGAGCTCTCTCTTCGATCAGCTCTTTGCGCAACGAGCTCAGTTCATTACTCAAAGAGCCAACTAAATTATTCAACGTGTTCATCTCTTTCCGATAATTGTTTTCCATTTCAGCTCGAAATGCTGCGACTAGAGCGAACCACTTCTCTTCCATCTGCTTCTCGCTTTTCCTGGCACGGAGAGTCGGTTTCTCGCAGTCGCTACAAAACCAGTGAAAAGACTCTGTTTTCTGTAGGAAAGAGTATTCTTCAGAGCTCAGCTTCGCGCAAGTGATGCAAATGAAATCCTCGCAATGTTCACAGATGACCATCTGATCATCTTCTCTCAACGAGGTCTCTTTGCAAAACTTGCATGCATCTTCAACTACGCAATTCGATTTCCTGTTCGATTTTTTCGGCGCATCTTGTTTCGAAGAACCGCATTCCTTCTTAACAATCTTGTTTACTTTCTTCCCAGCCATCGAAATATCTTATTTCTTAATTGTTTAATGATTTCCGGTTTCCTTCACTGAGATTTAGCTAGGGTCTCTCACAGCAATAACTCACCGGAAACAATAAATCACCGGAAACAAGCCTGTTTAACACAACCGCCCGACGGTAGTAAAGTTCTGGAAGTACAGCACAACCGCCCGACGGTAATAAAGTTCCGGAAGTACAGCACAACCGCCCGACGGTAATAAAGTTCCGGAAGCAATTCACAGCAGGACACAAGTCGGTCAGGCTCCTGGAGCGACTACACAACACGTCTGATCTCCACCGCGTCTCAATCTGAACTCTGAACATTCTTCGGCCGCCTCGGCCCGCGTGGCCCCAAAACGCGTGCTGGCTAAGATATAAACTTACAAAGATGTAGCAACTTCTCGATTTAATAATAATATCAAATATCCCCTAATATTACTGATGTTGGTGTTGCTTATTTCATGGCAAGCGTCATTACCACTTCTGCTCGTGTTCTTGTTGGTTGTGTTGCTGCGTTGGTTGTTGTTATTTTCTTTGACCAGGAATTTAAAAGCAAAGAAAATACCACAAAAATTCACCATATCTTTATAAGAGAAACGTTTCGAAGTCCAGCTCCATCGTCAGTTCATAACAAATGATAAGATCCTTGTTATTACAAATGATGAGATCCTTATTTTTGGCCAAATCTTTCAATAAAAGGAAACCAAGCGGCTGAAAAACAGACGAGAAAATTTTGTAAGATTTAAAACCATAAAAATGCCGGTAAGCTAAACTTTGTAAGTTGCCAAGAAATTCCTGACGGTTGGTAATGGAAACATTTTTTATGCTCAGAGCAAGTCTTTCAAAAGCTGAAAAGAACTTATAGAAATCCAATTTAAAAACAGGCAGACAAAAATCAAGTCCAAAGGCGAGCAAGAACTTGGTTCGAGGTTCCAGGCTGTATGAACTATA